TCCTTGATAGTTTTATATCTGTGTATAATACATTCTGGTTATTCTCACTCCCACCCTGTGAATTCCCATTCCTCCTTAAAATCTCTTTCTCACAGTCGTGTCTTTGTGTTTGTCTCCCTTTGCTCCACCCATTGGAGCCTTGAGGGCTCACCTGTGGGCACACAACTGAAAACAAGGATTGCATCTACCCCAGAATCCATTAGCATGCAATAGTTAAGCAGAGTAGGGTATGGTTCTAGCTTTGTGCAACCCAGCTGATCTTCTGGCTCATATTCTTTCTGACCCCTTTTCTTCCACTCTTCCTTTGAGGAGCTCTTGTAGGTACGTACCATGCTTAGGGCTGACCACTGAACTGTCATTTACTCTCATTACCTTGAGCAGCCATGAGTTCATTGCAAAGGCAAGCTGGCTGAAAACTGAGAAGTGGGTGTAGCATTTGTCTATGGGTATAAACACAAATATTTAGAAGGCAGTTTGGCCTCATGTCTCTTTAGCTAAATAGCTGTGGTATGTTTCCTCCTAGGGCCTAAGACCAACACACAGAAGCACACACACAAATTTTTTTTTTTAGATCTAGATTGTGTATATGAAGAAGGACATAATGTTCATTTTTCCGAGTCTGGCTTATTTGATTTAGGATGTTGGTCTATAGTTCTTTTCATCTTCCAACAAATGTTACAATTTTATTCTTCTTTGTGGCTGAAAAAAAATTTCATTGTGTATGTGTACTGGCATTGTCATTTCTCAGTGCGGGCTATGCCTGGGGAAAGGTCTTCGTGGTGAGTTCAAAGGCTTATAATAATTTCTTATCAACACTATAAAATAACCACTCTCATGATGGATTAACCTGTGCCCATGGATTATTTTACAGCCACATGAGTCCTATTGGATCTGTTTCTAGCAGAGGCCCATGGGTGCAGCAGTGTGGAGTCCTCTGGGGGCCAGCATACTTGTTCCAGATTCACCTTCCTCCTTGGGTTCACAAGCAGCAGTTTACTCTGAGCTGAGCTGCCCATGGCACCTCCCAGCTGGGATTAGTTACGGGGTGAAGAGTTGGGCAAACATTCCTCCCCTTCCCCAGAGCCTCCGAGGCCTGCTTCAAAGGCTTGAGTCAGTACTGCAGAGGAGGAGTCTGGAGACAAGAGAAGGAGCAGAAGGACTAGGCAGACTGGAACCAGAGGATTCCAGAGGCTTCCAGAGACCTGTGTGGCTCAGTCAGCCAGGAGTCCTTTGCTGCTGTGTCTAGCACAATTTTCTGAGGTTAAAAATGGTCAACTTCCCAAGAAGAGGCAGAGGAAACTGGATATTGAACCTGTTTTTCTGGCAGGAGCCAGATTGCCTATGACAGGTGTCAAATAACTGGTTTGGAGGATGGAGCCGTGTGACGATTAGGTTTGCGGCCCCTCTCGTCCTCTTTGAACCAGATAGGGCCTTTTCAGAGAGCGGTAATGTTTAGAAAAGATAGGGAGCTCCCTAGATGCACAACCAAGTCAGTAAGAATGGGCTGCTGGTTCTCTCTCTCTCTCTCTCTCAGACACACACACACACCCTTTAATATAGTTGCTTACGTTGTGGTGTCTCCCAAAGATAAGATTATTTGCCTTGCTATTTCATAAATGTAATTTTGCTACCATTATGAACCATGATGTATAGAACTGGTTTTCTGAACCTGTGTTTTCTGATAGTCTTAGGTGACCCCTGTCTATAAAAAGGTCATTTGACTCCAAAGGGGTCATGACCCACAGGTTGAGAACCACTGCTCTAGCTCCAGAGACCCTCCCTAGATTTAAATTATAGTTCTTCCGTTTTCCATTTGCATGACCTTGGGCAGACTGGTTAACCCCAGCTTCCCTGTTTCTAAGAATGACAAGCTTACTTTAAAAGGGTTAGTGTCTGTAAACATAGATTTATGCTTTGAAGAGCCATCATATGTCTTTAATAACTATGCTGGTTAGTTTAAAAATTTTATTTATGGGTACATGTGTGTCTGTATATGTTCACATGCTAGAGGAGTCAGAGTGATGATGGATCCCTTGGAGCTAGAGTTACACACGATTGTCAATTGCCTGTGGTGGGTGTTGGGAATCAAACTTAAGTCCCATGCTAAAACAATATACATTCTTAACTGCCGAGCCGTCTCTCCAGCCCTGTGTCTGTTAGTTTTAACTGTCAACTCAACACAACTAGACTCCCCTCAGAAGTCTTAAAGAAAGATTATTTAGACCAGATTGGCCTGTGGACATGCCTTGGGTTGTGGTTGAGAGCTTTTGATTGTCCGTTATGAGAGGCACTGTTCCCTATGCTGGGCCCTGAACCACTAAAGATTAGAGAAGGCTTGGGCTGAGGCCTAGAGCAAACAGACAATGATCCATGTGTTGATTCTCTCTCTGTTCTTGGAGGTGGACGTGAGGCCTTAAATCCCTGCCTTGCCCGTGAGATAATGGGCCTTGACTTGGAATGGCAAGCCGAACAAGCCCCTCTTCCCTAAGTAGTCTTTTAT